AAAACAAATATTAAAATACTCAATGTTTAAAATTTCGATCAAGATCTTTATAAAATATTTGAAATTAAGAAAATCTTGCCAATTAAGCTAAATTTTAGGCATTGTATCTTACAAATAAAGTTAAATATCAAACGTAATAATTATCTTTCCTTTAATATTGAAAACCAATTTTTTTTTATCAACTGAAAAATGAACGATGAAGATTAAATCTCTAAACCCGATTAACATATCCGTTTAGTTAGTTAGATCCGCGTGTTAACCCAGTTAAAAATGATAATTATTTCATTTTGAAACTATAGTGTAAATTCATTGTGTACTTCAGCTTTAATAGTATAGATAATTTTTAAAAAACTGCAACTTGTATAATATAAAGTCCTTTACTATAGTCTATGTGCTGCTGCTAAAGAAATTTCCTTATAAAGTTAGTCCCCAGTTTTGGATATTTTGACTTTAAAAGAATCAATTCTTTATTGGAAAAAGATGATAATAAAGGAATTGTTATTATATGTTTGAAGATAAGAAAGCTAGCCTTTTGAAATCCCTTACAAGAAGATGCATGGTGAATCATATCTGTCATGCAGTCAGTCAGTTGATAAGAATGGTCTGTCACAGTGCTTTGGTCAATAAAGGATAAGGAGATGCTCACATATCTTAAATTCCAAGTGGCCCTTAACATATAAAAGAGCAAGAGAAACTCACTCGACCAAGATTTAGAACAGCGGCTGAAATGAATTTTCCAACTTAGAGAATTGGTATTTCACAAAGCATTTACCATTTCAACAAAAAGTAGATCTAGAGCCTTTTGAAAGAATGTACACCTGCATTACTAGAAAGATTCGTGGTGCATGGTCCTTCACCTAAAAATATAGTGTGATATAGAGTGTGGCCTTCTTCATCCTAAGGTGTGTGTTATAGAATTCAATATCTTTATCTTTATCCTAGAATCGTTCGGATTATAAGAGATAGTAGCCACAGAATAAGTGAGCAGATTTTGGTACGATTCTTTAACTCTAGAATCGACTCTGAAATTGCTTCTTCTAAAAATACTCTGTTTTTTGTATCTTTCCCTCAACAAGTGACCTCTCAATCTCTCTTGGTTTATAACAGATTCAAACAGAGCTTTTGTAAACGTTTTGGGATAACAAATATTATATTAACCCTGACTTGTTTTGCTTCTACGTTTTGAACAATAACACACAAACACTAAAGAAACAAGGAATGAAACTCGTGTCAGTGTGAGGAATATTCAAAGGTCTAAAAAGTTCTGAAACCGAAGTTTCACATAATCATGTATCCTCGTTTTCTTTCGTAAAATGAAAGACGTTACGTTGGTTTTTACTTTTTAGGCTACTGGATTATATAAATGTTCAATCCTACTCTTGAGAAATTGTATGTGGCCATACATGCTGGCCCAATTCTAAGGGTAGGCCGAAAAGATTTGGGTTCTGGTCCCATACCCAATTAGAAAGACATATATTAGTTGTTTCATAGTTGCTGGAGACCCTACATTGAGAAGAAGATGATGATGCTTCTCCATATGTTTCAAAATAACGTTGGTGACTTCTTCTTCGTTGTCCGTTTAGAACCCTGTCCTACAAGTTTACACCATGCAACGATGTTTTAGTACTTTCTAAAACTTTGACACAAGTTTATAGTAAATTACATGTCATACACATTAATACTTATCGTTTCTTTGGTCTTGATTGATCTTCTACTGCTTCTACTGGCGAGCGGATGAGTTGATGAGGAATGGCGGCCATCATGGTCTCCATTACCCTATTTGAATCAGTCATTCATGTTTAATTATTTCTGTTTGTAACAACAACATATTATATCATCTCATTTATGACCGTATCGAGAATCTTTTAAATTTTAATATCAGATTTCCTCTAATCTCTTATAACGTCAATGATAAATGCAAATTTATGGAGTGTAGTTGGGTTGGTATGGGTGTGTAGTGTGTTACATTCTTCATCACTAGTATCTCTACGAACAGTCTTTCTTGTGGGGTTTTTTTGTATTTATTTAAAATTAATGTTCTTTACATTACATTAAATTAGGTTGAACAAATATTTTTCTAAATTTCCCCCATTTGTGATGAAAAAGCAGAAAAATGGTTCACCTTATTTCACACACAAAAAAAAAGGTGGAAGGAACAAAGTTTAAAGGAAATCTCTACTATATCTATCTATATACTGTATATTGAAACGATTACATGTTAAAGATCTATATTATCGTGGTTAGAACCCAACACACTTTACTATTTAGCTTGGGAAATGGTTAAAACCAAAGAATTCACAATCACTTCTTCAAATAATGTTTCATATATTCAAAAGATTAGTAATTGATAGACATTCTTTTTAAAAAATTAAGATTTCTGGATTATTTAGATAATTATAAGATATTCAAATGTCTCTTTTTAGTGGATGGTAATTGATTAACCAAATCTACAAACAGATGTCGAAACAGAGAAGAAGAAGAAATGGCAAATCAGCACAATATCATCATTATTTGAAATCTATAGATTATAATATTGGATGCTAGTACAACATCATTGCATTGTTACACCCACTTCAATAGAAAATGAAAATATCCCGGAGTAAAATAAGCATCTTATTCTTTGTAATGGGATTCCCAAACTTGCTTCAAATTAAAATAATCATCAGTCCTTTAATCTTCTTCTTTAGTCTTTACCATTGGCAGCAATAAAAAAAAAAGATCAGTTTTATATTCTAAAAGCATTTGTATTATATAGTACATGAAATATTAGAATAATTTTCCATAGAAAAAGATTTTAACACGTTTTATACTCGTCAAAAGAAAACAATTTAGCAAAATAATATTCATAATCATACTTTGTTAAAGAAAAATGAAGAAACCTCTCGCCACCATATATTCCTTTTCTCTAAATCAGTGACCCAAATACAGATTTGGAACAATAATGTTTTGATTTAATATCAGAGAAGAAGAACTCAAAGAAAGGTGAATTGAGATGAAACCAGTAGATTTTTGGATTGTAATAAGAGAAAGAACAATCACATGACCACGACCAGACCATGACCAACGACCATGTTAAATAAATCCAACATTCACTCTAATCCAGTGTCAGACATTGGATCACCATTTTAACACTTTTGTCCCTTGGATTGATACGAAGCTAGGATAAGCCTGGACACGTGTGAGACTATCATCATACGTGTCGTAGTAATGTTGACGAGGTGGTGTGAGTGTTGTAGCCCTATTGCTTTATCACATTGCTGTGACTCCCGACCACACAAAAAAATAACTGTTTTGTCCCTAACTCACCCAACACGACCTCCATGTGCCCCGCATTATTGTGATCTACCACTATTTTTAATTTATTTTTTAGTTCCTAGATTCGTCTTAATTAACTGTTACAATCGTCGTACCCACTTTATTATATTTATAATGTTTGTTTAACTTCGTTTTTAACTATTTTATCAATACTATGTGTGTTACACATTACACCATATGGGTTCTGCCAAAGACTCATCAAAATTAGTTTATATATAGGAATCGAGTTTGTACTATCTTGATCACAAAATAGTGTTCTCCCTTCTGAGATCTAATTTCTTAACACGAGAACTTCAGTACTTAACAATCTCAACCAGAGTTAGGAAATGTGTTGATTAACCTTTTAAAAGATCAACCAAGATTCTTTACATCACCTTTGTAATTTGACTTTATGAAACCCGGAAGTCAAAAGCCAACATTGTTATATTCTTCAACAAAACTCACTTAACCTTTATAACTAGTATATGCTTTGATGGCTATAAAAATGCTCTGGTATATTGTTTTCTTAGAAATGTATCAATTTATATGCAATGTAAATAATAGAATATAGAATTTGTTTGTTAGGAATAATAGCAGCGTCGACAAAAAAAACAGGAATAATAGCAGCTTGAGATTTGATTTGATTCTTAGTAGTTGCTTTTCAAAGCTTCTTTAAACGTTGATCAGAGAAGTTTGGGACATACTTAGTACCTGACCAATAATTCAAGAACTTTCCAGCCAAAATAATTAAAATTCAAGAAGTTTTATTTGTTGTATTCTTATAAAGGGTAAATTGAACTTTCTAATTATGAAAAACGTAAAATGTGAATTAATTAATATATCAAGAAGGTGAAGCTTAATAGCTCACTGGTTCAGAGACTTTGCGTTGTCAAAAGAGTAAAATTTTAATCCTAACTAGTAACTACCTCAAATTGATATTTGTTTTCACTATCATTAGTGGATGACAAAATAGTCAGTTACCACGCTACCATCTTTTCCAAATCTTAACGATGTTAACTTAATTAACGTAATTATAATCACCATTCATTAGCATCCAATTTCAACTTAACTTGCATATATCAAACTATTCAAATTAAGGTTGGGCAAATTTTCCAATGATTTCTGACCGTAAAGCGTTCAACTTCTATCAACAACCGTGTTTTTTAAAGTTTGGCTGGTAACATTTTTGTTTATTTTATACACATATAAAATGATACTTAACACCATAACACATACATTTTTGGGGGGGAAAACAATCTACACATACATTTGTTGGGGGAAAACAATCTACCATCTTTTGCGGTTGAGATTGCATTGAGACAAAACATATAGTACTATGATTGAGCTATGGTCTAATTCTTTATATATTCAGAGAAATTAAAATTTTGTACCATTATGATATATAGGCTGATAGCATATGTTCGTTCTAGTTACATCCAAGTAGTGTTCCACCAGTTTGTAGGGACATTTTAGGTCTAATATGAAAACACAGATGCATGCATGGATCTCCCCCACCGTAACAACTCTTCACTAAATTCTAGATTCGTTGTGGTTGTTGCCTTGCTTATAAGCCCCCCATTCAAGAGCTTTAAGCCCCATTCAAGAGTTTGGCTAACTCACCAGTAGGTTTGAGGTGAAAAGTTGTTGAAGTTTGTTACTTTGTTACCTGAGATATATATATTTGCATGGTGGTTTCCAGCTTATGATAAACCATATATATCTCCTGTTTGTGTTGCAAATAATTTTTTACTCATCAGAATACGAAATGTTGCAAGTGCTATACGAATCGACGATTAGTATTGCCTCTAAACTGTATGCTAAGTTCTTTCTCTTTGGCCCTTTTAAAATTTTTTATTTGGTAGCTAGTGAATTGTTATTTCCTCTTCCAACATTATACCATCTTGAGAAAAGACACAAACCAGCAAACCTAGCTACTATATGATGGCAACAGTTATATCATAGATGTATAAGTTTATACGTTTACCCTTCATGTTATAAAACATTTTAAAAAAAAAACATTTTTAAAAAAATGTTACAAGATTTCTATATTAATGTTGTTTGATATTAGCAACAACTTTTCGATATTAGCAACTAATGTTGGTGAACCAAAAAAAAGAAGCAACTAATGGTTTTTAAAACCAACTAATATTGATGTTAAGAGACTATAAATATAGACCAAGGCATGTTTCAGACAAACAAACAAAGATAAAAAGAGTGCTAAAGCATTTGATAAAGGTATTAGCATTTTAACACCTACTACAAAATCTAAGATAATTAAAAAGTTTCATAAAATCTTCAAATTATTATTAAATTTACTTATAATATATAAAACATGTTGGGATTTTACATACAAATCTTAATGTCTTATTTATTTTTGAGACTCTTTTAAACGGTTTGACTTTTTTGTGCACTAATCAAATTAATAGTCACCTTTCTTACACATACTGTATTACATCTATATATATAAAGTTAACTTTTTCTCTCTTCTTCTTAAGCCACATCATCATCCACCTCATTTTATTATTTAATTTTTAAAACTAATTATACTATTTTATCATTTAATTTTAATATTTAAACCTATGTAAATTAGTTTTTCAAAAATGAATATAAAAGGTCTTTTTTATATTATACATTATAAAACTAAAAAAGATAATTGATTAAAAGGTAAAAAAACTTACTAATTATCGATTATACTAACAAATATATAAATAATAGATTATAGTTTTTAGTGAATGTTTAAAATATATATATGATTATATTTACACAATGTAAACCTAAATATAATGGGATTTAACGGGAATAGAACAAAAAGTAAGAAATTTTGAGAATATAAATCTATCTAATTTATGTCTCAAAAAATTTTCTAACATAAATGAGATAGGTCGGACCGAAACATGAATTCTCATTTTTTATAAACATATAAAAAGGTAAAAATAAAAATAATATTTCTTCTAAAGTTTCCAATATGAATTTAACTATTTGTTTCCAATACAACTAATAAACAAAATAAAAAATTAACTGTATTTCATAAAATTGAAAATTAAAATAAAACATTATTAAATGAAATAAACTAAATATAAAGTAAATTATACTAATATGTTAAATTTAAAAATTGTTCCATATGAAAAAACAAGAAAAATATATAAAACATAAAATCAGAAAATATATATAATAGTATATAAATGATTATTACGAGATATAAAGTACGACAAATCCAAAAAAAGGAAAACGTAAAACAATAAATAATAAATTTTGACAATATATAAAGAGATAATGTAAACAATTAAAAATACAACAATCTGCCCGAAACCCACAAATCATGTTCAAATTTCATGCCAACATATAAAAGGGCCCAAAATATTAACATCAAGATCTATATTTCGTAAAAACCCTAATAGCACACGTTTCTCAATGATTCTCAACCACACTTCCATTTACGCTCACACTTCAACTTATACTATACACACTTAATTTCTCAAGGACTAATGAAGCTAAAATTCAATAGTTTTTCTATACAAACACGATTTAAGTTTTAAAAAAGTAAAGTATGGTAGAGTGAAAAAAATAAGTATGAAATAAAATACGAATTAATTATTCATAAACAACATAATAAACTCGCGCGCGTAACGCGGGCAACCGACTAGTAACATTATACATAGATAGCTATATTTTTAATCTTAACAATCGTTGTTAGATACAATTAATCACTAAATCGATACCGTTACAAAACCATTGGATTGCGACGACAAAACATAAATAAAAAAACCATTGGAATTACAAATCCGGCTCTTGGCAAAACAACGGGCAATGGCATAGAGACGTAATTAGATGATAACAAGCGGGGGTACACTCGTAAGTCACACCGAAAAGAGCTGACATCTTTCTTAGTCATAACACGTGGCAGCTTTTCTAACTGCCCACAAAAGCATTTCCTAATCTGATTTGTCATCTCAGCCGTTGGATCCGAACCCGATTCTTTTCGAAACGGCAAAACCGCCTCCAACTTGAATTATAGTATATATCAAATAAATTAAAATAAAAAAGCCTTCAAAAATATTTAATTTTTTTGCTAACCATGGTTAAGTTTTGACTAACCCGACATAGAAATAACCTAAATTTCGAAACTGGTCAAAATCTTTGTAAGTATTTACATTTATTGCCATTGAACATGCTTTTGCTATAAATTTGGTTCCTGAGACTCGCTAGGTTTGCCGAACCAACCTCTCTTAGGCACCTTCTTAAGAGCTTACTACCACCAAAAACACCTTCTTCTCTCTTCTTCTTCTCCTTCCTCTTGAGACTTTTTATTCTGTTTTCGATTTGACTTTCACAAAAGAGAAAAAAAAAATATGGTGATTACTTCGTCACGAACCAAGTCAAACGGGCCGGTGCTTCGTTCACAATCACCGTCAGGTCGATTTTGCGGTGGTTACTCTAGAGCCGTTCCGTCGTCTTCTTCCTCGGCGTTCGCTTCTTCTACGAGTTCTAGCTTCTCATCTCCGTCGACAGCTTTTTTCAGCAATCACCGTCATCATCACGACAACAACCACAGTCACCACCGATCTGCTTCGCCGACTCGTGTGAATCTCTACACAGCTCAGCCGATGTCTCAGTCGTTTCGTTATTCTCTCGACAGCAGATCTATATCCCCGACTAACCGCTCGATCTCCGTTACGAAGAATCAGCCACCGAAGATCTCAGAGACGAGGAGGCGGTGTATGTGTTCTCCGACGACTCATCCCGGATCTTTCAGATGTAGTCTGCACAAGAACGTGGCGAATCCACACGGACAAGGCACAGCTTCGTATACGACGAACGGATTGAATATGCGCCGATCTGCGATGACTAATTCGCTGGTGAGAATCGGTGGTGTTGAAGGAGAGTGGGTGAGAAGAGCTTTGACGACTTTGATTCGACCTTCTTCGCATCATTTGAAAAGACGAGCTGCGTATCAGCCTCGTCCGAGTCGGCTCTCAATCATGGCGAAAGCTGATGAGAATCGATTTTGATCTGGATTTTGGGATTTTTCCAGATTTTTCAGGTTCGTATGTTTTGTTCTTCTCTCTGAAAAAAAAAAAAACCCCACAGGGATTTTAGTAGATCCGGCGAAGAGGTCTTTCTTTGTTCTGAAGCTATCGGAGATTCGAATCTGGGCCGGAGAAGTCAGAAAAGTAGGGCGAGATCTGGCCGATGGAGAAGAGTCTCGCATCATTTTGTAAACGAAGAAAGAAAGAAACACACACCAATCATAATTTTTTTTGTTGTTGTTGGGTGAAGAAGATGCGATAATGCATTGTACATACTTCTCATTTTACTGTTTTTTTTTTCTTTGTTGGTCTCCGCTCTTCCTCGAAAACAAACCCAAAAAAAAAAAAAAAAAAGTGTTCGGAGTCTCTTCTAAATTACACCTAAAAATGAAAAATCGAAGAACTGAATACAATTTTGTGCGATTTGAATTTGTTTTGATTAAGAACAAAGTTGAGATTTCTCGTTTACTCACATCCATGGTGTGTTTGTGTTTGTCAGATTAGCGTTTCTTTTTGTTTTCGCGTGTTCCGTCAAGTCAACGTTCGTGTTTGCCGTGATACATCCGTGGCCGCTTCTTCCGTTTAAGGAGCGTTCCGTTAGTTTTCCAGGTATGCGTCGTTCGTCGTGTAAGGTATGTTCTTTTCGTTCTTTTTTTTTAAAGTCGTTTTTATGTAATATGTTGCTTATGTTATTTCGTAGTTGTAATTACTTTTGTGTGAACATTTTTTATTTTTTTTTCCTTTTACAGGTTGCGTTTGTAGACGGAGTTTGAACAACTTGACTAACCGGGACATGAAAATGCGAATGGACTTCGACAAAAAAAAATATATAAACAAAAAATACATAAACAAGAGACGTGGGAAAAGATCTTCACCTTCTTATGGACATTAAAAGAATATTGACATATTGACAAAAAAAAAAAGATTACAAGAGTGGAATTTTACATTGGGAAAAAGGAAAAAACAGGAAAAATGGAAAAGAGTAAAATGGTAAAAGAGGGAAGCTGACTGACCAAATTAGAAAACGACGGAACTATGGATCATGGATGAATGGAATATACAATTAGAGGAGTAAAATGGAAAAAATATATATATATGAAAAATTGGGTATCCTTTGGATTTTTATGAACAGGTAAAAAGATTATAATGTCTGAAGGAAGAAGAGGTGAATTTTGAAAGATACGGCTTCCTTATCTGGAAGATTGTATTACTATATTCCATCATATTCCTCTGCGTCCAGGAATATACCGTAATCATTTTTTTATGAACAAAAATAATATAGGTAACTAATTACATTTTGAACATTAAATATTTTATTATTTTAATATATAGTTTGAATTCAACAACTTGAAGTTTAAAAATTCATCTTCTAACATTGCAGCGCAATGTAAATTATTTAAACTTGATGATAGATGACCCATATTGTAACATGTTGTACGTGAAGCAATTTTAGTGGTACGTAGTTGTCTGATTTAATAAAACCTTTCTATTGCTAGAAAAGGTCGGCTAGTGATGAATAGAGAAGACAATGGTTGGCGACCACAACCTTGGCCCGGACTTGTGATATTTTCTGTTTGACGGGAGACCTTCGGGTTTGATCGGCGTGACCTCCTTCTACTTCCGTATGGTACTACAATCATCTGAAATTAAACCCAGTAATACTTTTTTGCATAATGTTCGTCCTTAGTTCACTAGTTTTATAATGGGTTTCATACGTGGGATCTTTTTATTTTATTTTTATTTTTTATTTATTTAGATCATTTAGTATTTTACATCTTTCGTTATGACTCGTCGTCTCCACCTAAATTTTCTTCAAATGTCTCAACAAGTTGAAGTTTTATATTTTTTATATGGGCAGATAAGAAAGTATTTGAGAATTTGAGAATGGTAGTTGAAAACTAAAATATATTGAATTTTTTCATATACTTCAATATCACAGTGACATCATTGGCCGACTAATTTACAAATATTATTGTTGTACATTTTATAAGAGGCAAAGCAATAAATTGTAGTACCTTAATAACAAGAAGAACAAAATAGTGAAATATAAGATTGTTTCAATTTATAAAGAGGGAAAAAGTGGAATAAAAGATGGGATACACGTCTTCCTTACCTGGAAGAGTATATGCTACCATCATCTTTTTAAATTATTTGATTTATCAGATCATTCTTCTCATAAATTATACTGATATTATTCTTTTCATAAATTTGGTTCATTTCACTGTGACATCATAAGAGGTCGGCCGTCTACTTGCCTAATATAATTTATATATGTTTGGTTGTAAAATTGCTAAGACAAAAATATATATAAAGAGATATGCATGTTAATACTACACTTATTTCACAATTATTATCACAATATTTGTTGTGTGAGACGTAGAACAATGAATGTGTATCAAAAGACAAGATTTTCTCGTGAAAGCAGATTTAGGTGAGGTGGAAACCAAACTCATTAAAGACTTGAAAAATAGAAGAATACAGTAAGGACGCATGCATCTTCCATAATTAGGGGAGAGATATTTGTTTAAGAAGAGCAGGTGTAATTAACTAAAGATGTACAGAATGGCTTGTACCATAATTATATAGATTTGCATAGATACGTAGCAGTAGTATTAAGTAATACAAGTATACCAATTTAATGGTTTTTATATTACATCCCTAAGCGATACTCTTCTGACTTCAAATCTCGGGTCGACGACCCCTAACGAAGACGTGCCTATTTTTAAATGGCTTCTCAGAAAACACCCTTCATCGTCAGGAGAATTTTTTTTTAAAGTGATTACTATTAAATTGTGTTTAACCATGAATGATGTTATCCCTTAAATCAAATTAAATTAATGGGTAACAACATACATTTGGTGAGTTGAGGTCAGAAACAAAAAAGAATGACGAAAGAGAGAGTGTATTTTGCGTGGCGGTTTTGGAAATTCCTGAGAAAGACTCACAAGATAGGGTAAGTAAAGGGTTGCTTGTGTCCTAAGCGTGGGAGATCAACCAACTTGATTTTTCTTTTTTCTTTATATATATATATATATCTCCAACTTCACTATTTTTGCTTTTGATTTTGTTGTTTTCTGAACCTTTTTTATATTATATATAATTCATAATAGTCTCACAAAATTGTTATATGTTCTTCCACGATACCTCCATGATAAAGCATAAACCGTAACTCATACTATTAGATTTGGTTTATAAAAACGAAATATAACACTTGTCATAATTCATCAAATTCAACACCTATTATTGCGAATATGGGTTACCATCATGGTAACGTTTTTTCATATGTACAACGAGCCAGATTTGACAATTATGTACTTTGTCAGGTTTTGAACCCCTCCACATGTTGTTATACAACAGATTTGTATTAACAAGTTAGCCTCTAAATTTATGTAAAATTACTAAATATATTGACAGTCTCAATATTTCGGATAAAAGCTCTAGCGGTTTGGCATTCCTATGGGCCTATTAGGAGACGACAAGTCGGCTAGATATTGTTACTCAATTGATCAATACAGTTCGTTTATAATCTATATTATAACAGTTAGTTTGTCAAATTATAACACATCACATATACTAATCACTTTAGATGTATTCTCTCAAACCTTCCACACACACTCTAATCACACGTATTGTTGCACTATCGCTCTTCTGACACGTATGCGAGGTTAAACTCTTGTTTTCCTTTATGTCAAACCGACTTCTTAACAAAAGGGTCGGGGATGACTATGAACCGTGGACCATCTGCTTTATTAATCACTTTCTTTATATATCAAATATCTTTTCCTCCAAAGCCGACTTATTTGTGTTGTGTGTGTCCCTTTTTTTCCTTTGGCTTGTAATTATTGAATTTCTAACGTATACCTTTCTGTATGAAGTTTGATTTATCTATAGACCGGACAACACAAGAAGGCTTAACAAGCAAGTTTAGGATTTTTGTTTCAACTTTCATATGTCCACTAATTACGTTTATTTTATTTATTAAAGTATATTTCTAGAAAAAGAGCCAAAAAGAAATGACTACTAGATAATTGTAAAGTGTGATCTCAAATAATAATAACCCACATAATAATCTCAAATAAAAATGTTAAGTGCAATCTCAAATAATAATAAACCAAAGATAATAATCTCAAATAAAAATGTAACTGCAATCTCAAATAGTAAATATTACTATAAAAATAAAAATAATAATCTCAAATGCATTATGATTATTATTTTTGGTTTCGAATCGTTTGTTTCCGGTCAACTCCCCAGCGGAGGAGGATCCATTCTTCCGGCAACGATCCAGTCTTTGATGTTTTCTAAGTTGATAGTATTGATTTGTTTACCATTTTTTTTTTTGTCAACTTAATGATTTGTTTACCATTTATTCCAAAATAAAAGGATGGTCAACAACGGCAGTTCAATGATCGAGAAGGAGACCTAAAAATATATCAAAAGTTTCTTCTGTTCAAACACGACAACACCTCATTTCAAATGCGACATCTTAGCTATATATAGCACAATTCAAAGATGATAGAGAGACGCAGTGGCACATGATGCTCTTCACTACTATATGATTAATTGCCATCAACTGTTTCAGTTATGACCCTCTTAAATGCAAGAGGCAAGGCTCATTACTCATGTTTTCTTCGTGTTTCATCTGGATTACTAGATACTACTACTGGTAAAAGATAAAATTGGTATCAACTCTGATGAATTCTCCACTACATTATTTTGTTTCGAGGCTGATGATGAAAACATATCACGTACGCACCCTTTGCGTTTAGATATAGAATCATTACGGTCTATGCTTCTTCCATATATTTCAAAACAAACCTAAATATATGAAGAGTCTCTATATCTAAGCACGGCAGCTGAATGTATCCACTTTTTACTAGTTACAGTCTCTAAGTCCACTACCTCTAAAAGTTCTAACCAGTCTGTATCCGTTATGTTTTGTCCTTAGAAAACAACGTTAACTACATCATTAGTTTAGAAACGAATCAGAAACTATCCGTTAAGGAACAAATTGATTACCAATTAAGACAGCAGTTGAGATAGTGAAAACGAGACATGAGTGATGACTCTGCCCCACACGCTTTCATTAAGATGAGTAATTAAACTCTTTTAATTAAGCTTTAGGCTTTTGCTAGAGAAAGAGCCAATGTTCAGACACAACATGTGACAATCAAAAACCACAAAAAAAAAAGAGAGATTAATTTAAACTTTTCTTTCTTTGTTTTCTTTTTGCTACTATTGTGTTATGTTTCGGCTAATTTTAAGGCTGTGGCACAGTTTCAGTTGGCCTTTTCTTTAATCCTCAAACTCGTTCAC